TCTTTTTTCCCCTCCCCAGACACCGAAAAAAAAAAACTGTTCTCTTTTTATTTTTTCGCGCTCTCCCCCCCCCCCCCCCCCCCCCGTAATAGAAGACCCCGGATCTTATAATATGTCTGAGCGTAAAAAAATTCCAGGAGATCTTTTAATCCGACTTTTAGGTTAAACTTTTGAAAAACTTTTTTATTACATTTCATATTTCTGTTTTCGCAAAAAATATTCTGATAAACGCCTGCCTATCAGATTATATAGTCACAAATAATGATGTACATTTGTGGCGATTCTAGGATTAGCGCTCTATTTTTCTAGTGCCAGCAAAACAGTATTCATCCGATTAGATTTCTGTAATTATCTGAAGTTTCATCTTCCGATAAGATATCCCCACAATCCAGAAATTGGAAATTCAAGAAATTCAAGAGATATTGATACCTTTCATATCAACGGCATATAATCTTCATGGAAATCAATAAATTCAAGGAAATCGAGGAAAATCTATGAATTTCAGAAATTCAAGAGATCTCGATATCTTACACATCAACTTCTTATAACCACTATGGAAATGAAGGAATTCAAAAAATTCGAGATACGATGTTATCTTACAACTTCTCTTGAATCCCTGCATTTTCCTTGAATTTCCAAAATCTGAATCGTGGGTACTGCTGCTTTCGATAATACGTTAAGCAGTGGAGAAGGAGCATTGTTCTCTCGTAAATATAATGATGTTAGTTTATCGATCAAAGTTGGAAGATATTCTCGACAGATTGTGACGAAGTTATTGAAGTACATTGGTCAAAAATCGATACCGTAAACGGTAAAATGACGAAAAACCAGGGAGTTAAATCGAGAATTGAGACCACGACATGTATAAATAAGATGATCAGTTGAGAGTAATTCGAATAGATGAAGTAATAATTCGTTAGCCAATATTCGCAATTCATTTTTCGTGCATTTCTATAGTATTCATCTGATAAGAATGAATCAAAAGTTTTATTTATATAGAAAATGTAACAAAAATAAGGAAGATGAGATGGCATATTCTGTTTTTTTTATCCATGAAATATATATTTTATTGTGACTAACACTGACAAACTCAATGAGCAGTGCTACCATCACTTTCGGTGTAGATATTCACTACACTACTCCATCACTCCAGATTTGAGTAATTTATATAGAACACGAGCTTATATTCGATGAGAGAAGAGGGAAAAGAGTGAGCAGCCAGCTGTTATCAGTTATGAGGTTCATGCGTCTAGGTTAGTAGTGACCAATGGATCTCACACCATTGAATGAATGAACAATGAAGAGATTAGACGGTCTAGTTATGGACACAGCAAGTATCTGAGAAATTTCAACTTTTAATTATGTCATCGTGTTTATCATTTTTTAGTTTTTCCTTCAATTTTACAGATTTTTCAATGAATATTAAATGATATAATAAAATACATTTATTAATATTGAGTATTTTTTTCCGGATGATGATGCATCAATTTTTTGTGAACACAAAGGTTTTTACTGAAATTTCGTTTAAGCGTCTCTCTTATGATATTCTTTACTGAACTACAATCAATACAACGACTACTACTTTGAATTGGGTTTGACGATAGACAAACGAAAAGCAATACGATCATAATTGCAATAATAACTGCGATCAGAGAATGTGTTTATTTGATGATCAAATAGTCCTATTGATTCTTTTGATTCTTGTGAATTTGGATGTTTCCCATGTTCCACAACATAGAAGATCAATGAGCTATCGTGATATAGGTGAAGAATAATTTGTGCACAAATAGAACACTCTTTAATCAATTCACATTGAAAATTTTAGTATTTTTACCTATTCTGCAACTAGAAACTGTCTATTAGATTTATTACATCTATCACAAAACTAAAGAATCATAAAAAATGAATAATAAGAAATGATTTTCGGATACACAAAACATGTAAAGTGATTTAAGAGACACAATGTAACAACATTGTTTTTCGAAATAAGAACCAAAGGATTTTGCAATTACCTTTAATTAAAGCTAAGCTATATGCTTATTATAGTGATAAGCAGAATGAACTCGATTATTTTCTATAGAGTTAGCTATTCAAATGAATGATGAAATTTGTATCTTGTAGAGTTGTTGCATTAAATTCTTCAATACATGTTTCAGATGGTAATACAGATTCTATAATTGCGAAAAACTGGCTGTAACAGATGAAATCAAGTAGCGATCGAGTCAGNTAAAGTAATTATTTAGTAGATAAATGTCTTTTCAATATACATTACAACTTAGAACAAAATTTAAATGTTAGTATTCAATTAGCATGTGTTGTTGATGAAGAAAGTGGTGCTTGTTCATCAATTGGTGTTCGTTATTTATTAGATAGAAAGTTAATTTCGGGCTCTGGTGCTATCTATGTCTATCCAGGTACAAATGTTACTATTGGCCATCGAGGACTATTAAGATTAGAAATTAACGTCGAGGGTGAAAATGTTCATACTGGAAGCATAGAATGGAATAGTAAAATGAAAGGAGCTAATGCGGTTCGTTTGTTTCTTTTTTCATATCTAATTTTATCATTTGTTATATTTTTGTTTTCAAACAGTCAACTGCTTTAGCTCGAATTTTAATAGCATTGGAAGATCATGCGTGGAGCAACGATAAAGATCCATCTTTTCCAGATTTAACATTGACTGTAACTCCAGGTACGATTAACTTCTGTTTATATTCTTTCGTTCATTGGTATGACAATTGGATCTTCCTCACAGTATCAGCATTCAACATTTATGAAATTTTTAAATAGACGATAGAAACGCATCTGTTCAGATGCGTAGTAATGTGGATCTCTAATAACTATAGTATACATGCTTAGAATTCATATTACTAATCAATTTTAGAATGTACGCACGCTATAGATGTGATTTAAATAAATTTTCACCCACTAGGTTATTTTCGACTGCAGAATGACCTTATACGAACACGTCCTTTGAAATATGTGCATTACTTTAAGAGAAAGATGTTTCTTTATAGGTACGATCTTTAATGGCGGTGGTTTTGCATCAGTCGTTCCGTCGAATGCTTCGGCTATGATTGACATTCGTCTAATGCCATCGACATCTGTTGATGATATTTTGAAAAAAATTGAAGATATTATGGAAAATATAATTAATGAAAGAAATGAATTTTATCGTAAAATTTCACTTAGTTCAACTTCATCTGCACGATTATCAGCCTCTATTACAATTAAAAATCAATTACCAGCTGCAACAATTGATTCAAATCATTCGTTAGTTCTCTCTTGTGTCAATGCAGTTAAAAAGATACTCAACATTATGCCTACAACCAATGGATGTGGTCCAGCTAACGAAGGATACATGTTAATTGGGAGTGGTATTCCAAAAATTTGTGGGTTTGGGCCAATTGGAGGCAATGTTCATGGAGTAGACGAGTGGATATCAGTTCCATCAATGGCTCAAACGGTTGATATTTACGTTGATATTGTCTCTAATTATTGTCAGTTATTCGGATAATCGTTAGTTTTTATGGATCATCATATTTTCAATGTCAGATTTTTTGTGTAATTAGTAATTGGTGAAATATAAAGTGATTATCAATGGTTTTCGTTAATAGTTTCTTTTTTTTAAGTAAGAAATGAAACTTGTCTTCATTTTTATTTTTATATAGACCTACCCACATATTTTCTTACTAAACTGAGTTTAAACTCTACTGTCATACACTAGTGTTTTCACAAACATGGTACAAAAGACACGGTAATAGCCTTAATTCAAAATTTTTCGTAATTTATAATTTTTATCATAAGTATAAGCAACATATCAGTTATTGACTTTATTTAATATCATGAACTAATTGTTTCATAGTATTTCCTTGTGCTATTACATTCTGGTACCAACATGAAAATGAGTAACAATTTTCTTATTTCATAAAGATGTTTTTTATTTGTTTTCATATATTCTACGTTGTTCTTCTTGGACTCTAGTATTAAATATCGCGAATTTAGGTTACCATGCAAATCTTTTTGCACGGTAAATTGGAAGTTCAGATTCATATCACACAGCGAACGTGTAAGGCGACTTTTAGCTCAAGAAGGAAAGTGACCTTTTTCTAAAACAATTTAGAAGCAATACACTTCGACACATCGACTATTTATTCATGTCAAAATATATGTTTCAACTGATAAAGATCATGGTAAAAAACAACAAAGTGTCTATCAGAATTCGAAATCGAAATGTAGTTTCACTTATTTTCGAACTAGTGCTAGATTCTTCGAGCTTCATTTATATTCGAATTCGAATTAGACAACTCATGGATATAGTCGGTGAAACGAAGAGCCTGAAAATGAACACATGATATCTGAGGGTGTGGGTACGAATATGCATATGGGTATGGGTGTGGGTCTGTCTCCCTTCTACCCACACTCATACCCTTTTATCGAAAGAAAAATTTATCTAATTTGTTTGCTTAATTTTACTATTGATTATAAAACCTTATCAATAGTATCAAATAACTTTTACAAATAGGGTGTGGGTATGGATGTGGATAAAGTAAAGATGAGCACCCACACCCTCATCTCTGTCACATAAATTCAAGTTAAAGAACTCCGTTTAGTCATCAAACACTGAAGCTTGAGCTGCCTACATAAAAATATTTTTCTTATGCGTTTTGTTTTTATTGACGTTCCATATGAGTAATAAAATATATTTTATGTTCTTATCTCATGTTATCTTGCTACGTCTCTTCACTTCCTTTTTCTTCTTGTCCCAAAAAGCATGAATTATTCATCTAAAGTGTCTACCCACACCACACCCTCAGCTATCATGTGTTCATTTTCAGGCTCTTCGTTTCCCCGACTATCTCCATGAGTTG